AGAGAGAGAGAGAGAGAGAAAGAGAGAGAGACTCGCAATCGAAAACATTCAGCGCGACACGCGCGATGATCACGATTGAGCTTTTGCAATTTTGTAATTACGAACGCGCGATTAGATCGCGGTTTTTCCTTGGAATCCGCGTAGACACGGACATGCAGGCGAACTTCAAAGAAACGTGCGGAGTGTACGTGCGAAAGAAAGGAGATGATATCGGCTTTACGCGAGTGTGTGAAGTGCGGAAATGTTATGGTGTGCAAAGAACACACGCGCATGCACGCGCGCGGGGAGGGAAGGCGTAACTGACCATGGTGCAAATACACGCATTCGCAGAAAAACGGGGATACGGTGTTTTGCATAGCGCGAGTCCGAACGCGATGCTCCTTTTCCGTCCGAACGCGCACAAACGGCGCGGCGTTTATTCGCTCGCATCGTACAAAGCGTGGCTAATGAATCCACGTCTATTAGCGTGTCGTCTATTAACGTGTACATTCTAATTCGCGAAAACGGATCTCCGCGATCTCAAAACGATTTGCATAAATAAGATGCGCCATTACGTATTCGCGAGGATAATGTAGCGTTCCGAAGCAGCTTGCGGCATCTTTGACTTACAGCTTTACAAGAGGACAATCAATATCTTATCTATTGGCATATGACATAACTCGTAGGTTCGCGAAGCGGGGACGCGTCGGACGCGGGATCCGGTCAACGTCGTGTCGTGCGTAACACGCGTGTCTACACGCATGCGGGCGCGATCGGTGGCGTTTCTAACAAATTAACGGCCGATATCTCCGTCGTTTCACCCTGCTCCGCGCCTTCTGGCTCCACCTCCCAGCGGCGCACGGACCGGCTGCACCGCGAGAGGCAACATCCGCGCGCGCGCGCGGGAGAGAGAGATCATTTTTGCTATGTATTTGCAAACTGAATAATAAATACCACGCGGGATATACGCGACGAGCACGGCGGCGCGCGTTCCGCCTTCACGCAGCTCGCTCTCGGCGCGGATTGGTCGTGCCGACCGCGAGGGGACGGCGATATTCATTCGCCACCGTCTCTCCTCCACGACCGTGGACCTACTTTGTACCACGCACACGGGCGCAAACCGAGGATATTGCACGTGGACGCTGTACGCGTGAGGAGGGGGCCGTATACACATCTTATCATCTCTCTTTCTCTCTCGGCTCCCGCCGCGAGAGTAGCGGCGTTCGGCTCGAGCGAGTCCGTCTCCCTTGGTCCGCTTCTGCGTCTCTCTTCTCGCTCTCTCTTCCTCTCGCGTCTTTCTCTGCTTCCCTCCGTCGTTCGCCGGCCCTTTCTTTCTTGTTCCCTCTTTTATTGTCTTACGGCACTTGGTTTTGCGTATTGTGTAGATATATTTTATTTAATTACGCTTCTTATTTTTATATTGCCTCCCGTTCATTACTTTCCGTCCACGGAAATTGTCGTTAGTATGCGATGAATTACTTATTTTCCTATTGTTTACTCGGCTATACAGAGTATTCCGCTTCTCGTGCGTTATTTTTTAAATCGATGTATTCTTTAATCAATTTGGAAACGATTTTTTCCAGCAGTATTGAGAAACCGATAGTTTTCGAGTCATGAGCGATTGCAAATGACTTTTCCAAACTGAACTTTTTAAGAGTCAAATGGAGAACAAAAATATTCTTCAATTAATTTCATATATTTGACAGAATTTTATTTTAAGACTTGGTTACAAAAATGTGCGATGCAAAAGTTTGAAAAATTGCGATAAATAATTTGCTTTTTCGATATTTTTACCAAAAAATCAAATTAGTAAAAGAAAAATCTATCATTAAATGTGATGCGAGAAGTGAAATTCGTATATCTTTTATATTTAGTTTTATTATTTTTAAAAATAGTTTATTATATAATCTAATACGCGCGCTATTATTTCTCTCTGTCACATATTTCTTCTGATTCTCGGATTTATCCGATAATAAATTTCTCTTTCCTTTTTACGAGTGTTAGTGTAGGCTCTCGCATAAATACAAACGAATACATTAACACTGCGGTCACGCTTGGATCAGTTCTGCCCTCGCTGTATTTGCGCATACATATATTATTAGTTATTTGGCTTTTCTAAATTCCAAATCCGTGCCATGAATGTCATTCAACGCGGCGAGAAGAATACGCGGGGTGCGTCGCGTGATGTTTCGCCGGACGGATTTAGAGATCTCGAAAATGATAGTTAAAATTGTTAAGAACGACTGTGATAATGCTCGGAGACGATCGCATACCAACACGCGTGTTCAATCTTTAATTATTTGTAGAAACTCGGGTACCCGATTTTTTTTATATAGTTCAGCTATAATAATGTTAATGTGTGAAAGCACAAATTAATTTGCGAAGATGAATTTCATTATTTTCTCGAGGAAAACGCTTTGCAGTGAACAAACAATCGAATGAACTGATAGTAAGAAGCAAACGCGAGATATCAATGATAATCCCGTCTCTTTCTCTACAGTTATAGAGACTTCATTTCATTTTAGGGATTGTTCAGCCGAATAGCATAAATATTTATGCGCATACGCAAGCATTACGCGCTTGCTGGCGCATTAACGAGCACAATGCACTTATATCGTTTCATATACACATACCATAGCTGCTCAGGTGAGTGACGGCCGCCCGAGCGTGATGTTTTTCTCAGTTTGCTTTACGGTTCTTCGGATGTGTCGCTTTCTTCCGTTTATCATTGCTTCTGTTCTGCCTCTATTTTCATATACCTTCTTAAGACGTAATAATATACGGGGTGTCCAGTAAATCACGATATAATCGCCGAAAGACGATATATAATAAATTGTTTTATCACTAGAAAGTTTAATTCGCACATATTTTTCTGAATTTATATTTGTATTAATCTAGCTTCTTTTAAGAAGAAACATTTTATAAAGATGGTTATTTATCTTGAAATAGACAATTTCCGATTTGCAATTTCTAAATTATATTTACGTGGGATTAGCGCGACATATTTTTCGGATATTCGTTTGTATAGTGTGAGACAGCTACGTCATCGAGATCGGGAATCAATCATATTATTGAAAGAGCAGACAGTATGCAATCGAGTGAGTTAGCACGTAGTATCCTCTCTCAACTTGCTTTATAATCTTTTAAATATTCAGTTTGCACGCTCGTTTGTACATTCACCGCGGCGTATCGACCGCCACGCTAGACGAATTTCGTATTCATAAATTATACGAATGTATATACAATTTCGTTCATCGATCCGCAATTGATTGATGTCGATTAAAAATTCGAGTGAAACTTCTAATTAGTGTTCCGAGTAACTGTTGAAAATAAGAGAATTAAAAAAGGTAAATGAAAGCGTCTACGCTTATGTTAAATGCGGTGAAGAGCTCTCTATTTTGAACTCGGGTTCAAGAGCGTCAAGAAAAAGATTGTCCGTCCTTAAGTGGTAATGCGCTGAAAAATATGTTTACGTTAATTTGCGCGACGCGTCATTTTGCGCGTACGGAATAATCAACGCATTTCCTCTGCGCCTCCTTGCTTTTCACGAGGATAAAATTCGATGTAACGAAGCGTCTGACGTTAACGAAGCGTTAAAGCGAGGCAGGTGCGTTGCATTAATGTAACACCGGGAGAGGACTATAAAGCGTATAATCACGAAAGGTCATATTAATATGATAATAATAACCAGATAAATATATATGATTTTTACATACGG